CAATATTGTTGGTTTTGTCGGTCAGGATAATCCGTACATTTTCCCGCGTTTTCGCCTCTGTTAGGCTCTCGAGATCTTCTTTAAGGTAGTTCCTGGGGATGTGTATCTTCCTCAGATCGTGTTTTAGGCCTTCCATGGAGCACTTAAGTTGTTTGATAGTCTCCTCAACAGGTGGTATGGCTTTTGGTGGGGGTGCGAGGTCCTTATCGAATCTCGATACAACCTGTTTGAGGCTGAGTATAGTGTTTAGGTCTGGGTCTGGATTTCTCGCGGGGTTGGGAATACCGAACTCGTATGCAGGGTTGCTGTATCGCATTGCTGCAATCATCCTCCATACTCCAGTCTGGAAATCTGTTTCCAGTTTTCTCCCATTGTCCGGAGAAATCTTGAAATTCCTTCCTTTTTCTAAGATGTTGGTAGCTGCGTTGCTGTATGTGCTGGGGACAGTTACAATAACTCCAGAGCTCAGAGGGGCTTCCTCATTTGGGTTGTTGGTAGATTCTTCTGGGTTATTAGCTTTGCTATCTCCTTGATCTTCGTGGAGGTTGGGTGTAGTCGATACATTGCTGTTTTCTGGTTTTTGACACGCTGTTTTAATGATTTTGAGCTTCTTTTCCAGTTTTTGTTGTGACTCACACCTTTCTTTTTGGGTATGCTGTTCTATAACTCTGTTGATGTATCTGGTCTCTCGAGGTGAGGCTACACTGTGTAGCGTTTTAAGGGTGTGGTTAATCTCAAGGGTACATCTTTTAACTTCAAGGTATTTTTCATCGATTTCAGCTTTGAGGAAGAAACAATGTATGGTGTTCGTCATTCTTTCGATCTTGCTTTGAAGTTTGAGGTATTTGGGGACGATAGATGGGGGTAGGCTGCGCAGTTGACCATCTATATCAAACTTAGCTTTGAAGGCTTGGTGGAGAGTAGGGAGTTTAAGGGTTAAGATGTTTTTAGGGAAGACTTTCTCTTTTCTGCAAGTTTTGAGGAAGTCTAGCTGCTGTTGTAGGTTGGTCTTCTTGAGGGTAAGGGTGGACAGTTTTCGGGCAGCCTCTATAACACTGCTAGCCGCAGGTATCGAGCAAATAGATCTTAAGGCTGAGCGTGAGTTTGAGACGAATTTAGCTTTCATTTTAGACTTCACGTCTCCCGAAATAAAACTGCGAACAAAGTGAAACAAGGAACTAAGTGAACTGTAAAACCAAATTTTCGTCACGCATTGGACTTTATCAAGGTTACACTGAAAAGGGGAGGTTTGATCTCTGAACCAGAGAGTGTGGTAATAGGGTTAGGAAAGTAAACATACATGCGACAAAGATCAGGGTTATCATTAGGAAGAAAATTTCAGCAAAATTTATAGAAAAGGGGTGTACACATCCATGCGAGAAAAATCGGGTTGCCAATAAGAAAAAATCACAACAGAGAAAGTTTACAACCCTCAGATCAGCGTAGTAAAAGTGTACTAGAAATTAGTCTGTAAAACCGTTTCCACACATGTTATTGATTTTCGGTTTAGTGTGTTCTATTGCTAAGCCTTCTCTTATAAAGGTATCTAAGGTATCCTTACATTGTTCTGATATGCTAAATTCGTAGTTTTCGAAGAATTTTGCTAAGTCTCTTTTTCCCGATATGGGAGTGTAGTGTGGGTCGTCTGCTCTTGAAAACTACTTTTGTTCATGTTTCATGCTACCGTGATTATTATGAGACAAAAATATTTTTTCAGTTTTCGAAGTTTGATATAATACGATTTTGGACTCGAGGGTTCCCTTTGTAATGCGATCTCGGAAGGCAGGCCTCCCCTTCGCAATACGAGCTCGGAAGCGGGAGCTCTGCTTTCAGAGGTACGTATCGAGAATGACTCGGACCGAAAATTTTTATTTTAAAAAGTTTTCTTCTAATTATAGAAAACGTGATATTTGGTCCACAGATTTGAAGGAAAATACGCGAATTTGGTCCTCAGATTTAAAGGAAAATGCGCAATTTGACGCGGAGAATTGAAAAAATCGCGATTTGTCGTGAAGCCAGGATCTGAAAAATCGCGACTTGTCGCGGCAAACATGAAAAATCGCGATACCGCACATGCTGCAATTTCCTTTCGTCCTTACCCTCGAAATTCAGGCTTTGGCGCGAAGCGCCCAAAAAAATTTAGAATTTGGCCCCCCCATGAAGAAAATCATTCATACACCCCTGTTGATATATTTAATTATATAACTATGAAATTACTGTGTATTGGAAATAATGAAAATAAATATGACTATGCTAAATGCTTATTTTTTTGACAATTACCAGTGTAATTCAAAAATTCTAATTGGTCAAATCGGTCCAACAGAACTAAATATGAAAACTCACGGTCTTTGTTGGTTTAGTTTGTGTGGCCAGCTGAGTAGAATGTTTACATAACCTTTCATAGCTAAACAAAAGTGGTTGTTCGTTAGTTTAAAATATGATCGAATATCAAATGATTGAAAATGATGTGAGATTAAAACATTTCAGATGTGAGATGAATTCCATGGAAATAGCAAGCACCACAGCTCAAATGAGAGACAATCAGAAACGTTTCATGATCAATCCTGCTTATTAGCGTGCAATTAGCTAATTTGTTTAGTTTGTGTGGCCAGCTGAGTAGAATGTTTAGTGTTTACATAACCTTCCATAGCTCACCAATAGCAAACACCAAAGTTCAAATGGGAGACACTCTAAACATTTCATGATCAACTCCTACCAATTTTAGCGTGCAATTAGCTAATAATTAGCTAATAGCTAGCATCTAAATTATAAAGTGTCCACGTGTTGGTGAGTGTGATCGGCGCGTTCCGAAACTGTAATTATACTAATTGTGACTACAAACGCTCACTTAATGTAATTACACCCTACCCTCCGGGCTCCGACACACAGATTGAATTATGATTCCGTAACAATAAACATTGCGGGCCTCAACCAAGAGCGGCCCGCGGTCGGAGGTCACCTGACGAATGACCTCCAACACTAAACTAATAAAACTGACGGTATATCATTGCTAGGACTTACTTTCAGCGCTCTTTCTCTTGGGGGCTGCCCCAAGCAGGAACGCGTTCGGCTCACAAAAGGGTAGATTATTTTTATTTTTACTTGGGCGTTACTTTTTAATTAATCTGCTATAGATATTACGCGATAAGTGTAAAAACATCATAATCTTAAAGATAAATGTAGATATAAATCGATAAAAATAATTTAGCAAACCATCAAATAACAAATTCAAATTTATAACCAAAATGATTTTAAATGATATTAGCCGTTATTAAACGTAACATTACCCAATAAAATCCACACAATTTACCTCATAACTAAGAAGTAAAATTCATTAATAATATGAATAATAAAATACCAAAATGTAACAGTTATGGTCAAGTTCGGAGACAACCTGTACATTTTTTACTTTTTTAGAAGTGTGTGGTGGAGCCAGCTCAACACAGACTGAAACTCCTTGATTATATGGCTGACAAGACATTTTTCAGGACTTTCTCTGAGTAAAAAAAAAAAATTAAAAGGTTGAACGGTTGAGCAGATACAGGTGGTATTAAACAAACCCTTAAAAGGTGGAGATTTAAGGTGGAGACTGGCTCTGGTTGAAGAAACTTTTGATTAAGGTGGAAAAGGTTATTGGTAACACAAACTACATCAAATTTGCAATCTGATAGTTTTATCAATATTTTATTTAAGTGCTCAACCGAGGTGGAGAAATTAAATGCACTTTTCAAAGCTGCTCAACCGGGGGTGGAGAAAGGTTTAGAGAGTTCTAGGTTAGCTAGAAAGTTGCGTCTCGGACTTTTCTACTTCCCGTTAAATTTTGTTTTTTCCATTGACGCTCAACAGGGTGGAGATCTTTCATTAAGAAACAGTAAAAAGCCTGTCAAACATGCCTAAATTCATTGGTTTTATCACTAATTCTAATCTGCTCTGTTAACTGCTACTGTAGGGGATCATAAAACTGTTACCCCTTCTGTCTTAAAGCAAAGTGTTCTAGCAAATGAAAAAATTATCAAAGTTGTGAAAAGGTACTCAACAAGGTGGAGAAATTGTTGATTAAACATTAAAACATTAAAAAATGCATTAAAACTGGCCCCACCGGGTTGAGTTGAGCTTTGGCAGTTGATTTTTGGAAGAAATAACATTGGGTGACCCTTTAGCATGTATACAACTCATCAAACTAGCCATCAACCACTCAACCGCGGTGGAGAACCTTGACTTCTGAGGTCAAATTTACGCCCAAATTTGCCAAATTTGAGTCTCCACCTATGTTGAGTGTACTTTTCAGCAAGGATGCCTTGTAATATGAGTTGTTAGAAGATTTAGAATCATTGGTATTGCAAATGGACTGCCACAGTCACTCTACAGCTCCTAAACTACAGAATAACAGATTTTGAACTGCATGTTATGCTGTCTCCACCTCGGTTGAGCCGATTCTGAGGATCCTATTCTATGAAATATGATTGGTATAACCCATAATATTAAATATTAGGACTTTGGAGCAATTAAAAAGCATGAGAGGGTTAGTTCTAGTCACTTATATTAGCTCATGTAGTCAGTGAGCTGCTCCACCTGTGTTGAGCAGACAAACCTGCTCAACCGGCACTTTTTGAGTACCCACCTGTCTTACGTAACTTTAAATTGTGAAATTTGGAGTAAATTTTTTTTTCATAAGTGATTTACAGCTCCTTTATTTTTGTAATTTTCAGGTGGCCACTGTCTCCACCAAGGTTGAGTTATTTAAATTTTGAACCCAGATATCATTATAGAAAGGTTTGGAGTATAATATCTGAAGAGCCTGTACCCCTTGGACTTTCAGAGGAATTATAATTAATTTTTCCGTTTATGGCAGTGAAATGAGTGTAATTAGTGACTGATTTTATGTACAGGTTGTCTCCGAACTTGACCTTATACTATATAATTAATATTATTGGCGTTCTATTAAAATTAGTCCAGTTGGCAATAAACCTATCTGATCTTAAGCAAATGATTAACTTAAAGGACTAAAAAATCTTCACAGAAAGGAAGAAATAGTAAAATAAAAATTATAAATCTTCTCAAAAAAGAAGCAGCTAAAACTAAGAATCTTCCTTAGCTGATTTCTTCCTTCTTCTCCCCGTGAAGGGACTCCTGGAAACTTCTGATATCGTACTCCCTCTCGTACTCATCATCTTCCCAGAGATCACCCAGGTCATCCAACACACCCGCCAGACCTAGTGAACAGGTTTTCAAACACAAGGAAATATTTTGAAGCTGTTGAAAATTAGAGATTTATTCTCTGGTCAATTTATCTCATTTCATTTAAAGCTGAAGAAAGTTCAAGGAGATAATATAATGCACGAGGGGCTTTGATAGAACAATAAATCGCCTTTAAGAGCGACAAACTACATTGGTCGAACCTCATTTGAATCAAACGGCTCAACAAATCAGTTTCGCACTCCTGATAACTTTTAACTCAAAACAATCAACTTTTACAGTTACATATCAAGATAAGCGGAAGATAAATCACGTCATTGCGTGACACGACAACCGAATTTAGATTAATAACGAACAAGTAATTTTAAAATGAAATTTTCACAAATGCCTCTTATCATCAGTTACTAGAATCGTGATAAGGATCAGCTCATATGTATACACACTGTGTATAAAAGTTCAAGTAGCATTAAATTTAAAAAAGCAATTTTGTACTCAATTTTAAACGTTGTAATTCAGAATTTGCTAGGTTATATACTATACTAAAATATCTATAATCACAGTTCGGCGACTTCCAAATATGGAATAATAATCCTGACCTTTCTTAGACTGATCAGTCTTCTTATTCTTCTTTTCGACAGAATCTTTACCATTGAATAGATCCAGTAATCCGGAGTTACCCATTTGTTGCAGTGAAGAGTTTTCCTAAAGAGAGTAATAACTGTCAGCTATAATTTTATTTGCTTCATGCCCCAGCTGGGGCTAATAGATTAACCACGGTCATCGACAAGTTATTCAATCGAGAAATGAGGACGGAAATGTTTATAAACCAAAAGAATACTTTACAGTGTATGGTACGCAGATTCCTTGTTTAAAGAAAAATACACGTTTTCAAATGATTAAAAATTTATTTGTAGAATTATTGGTAATTTGAATACGTACTGTTGTTATTACTGAGTTAGCAATGTTCATTTTAAACTTTTGAAGTCCCATTATTTTCTCTTCGAGAGTGTCTTTGGTAATTAGCCTGAAAAAAGATCAATCTGAAATGAGTTTTTAAAATGAGCTTATTATAGAGTATTATTATACTTGTTTAAATGTTAAGGGGGCAGGGGGGGGGGGGGGGGTCTTTAAATAAATCAGCACTATTAATTGGGCAGTGTCACTGTCATTGTCAACAACATAACAAATTTATTTATATCAAAATGCAAAATTGATGCTAGGTTTAAATTCCCGCCTCGGAAAAATGATAATATTCTTAGGAATAAACTACACTTTTACTAAGGCAATGTCAATTGTCGGGTGTAACGAACGATTGGCATGGACATAGTGAAACTTAAACAAAAATTGTGATATTGACACTGACTCTATGAGGTGCAATGAATATTATATTTTTATATTGGATAATCTAATTCGCAAGTTTTCACATTGCTCTACGGTTGTATGAGTAAAGATTAACTATGAGGACTAACGACTGACGTCTGACGACAAATTGCAAGATAATTAATTTTAATAATTTGTAATTCTAGATAAGTTATTAGATCGTCGTATCTAAAAGAATCTTACCTGTAAACGTTAACAACTTTCTTCTGTCCGATTCTGTGAGCTCGATCCATAGCTTGAAGATCTTTACTAGGATTCCAATCGTGTTCAACAAATATCACAGTGTCCGCTCCTGGAATGTGCTTTATTTATCACGTGAGCTGGTTTATCGATCACGTGATCTAGGTGGACTCAGTTCAAACAAGAAAAAGCCCCGAGTACCACTTGCAGGTACCAAGGAGGATAATCTTGTAACTAATTAGTATTTTCAAGTGATTTATTTCCAGCCCTCACTGCATGGGTGTCTTATTGATCATTTAATGATCTGTAAGCCATGGACTCGTATCACATACACAGAAGGTTTCAAGTCTTTATTTGGTTCCTCTTTACTTTACGTTGTTTAGCTGCAAGGCAGCAGAGTCATCTATGAAAACCACCCTTTTTCTTTTACTTCGGACAACCATGGCCGGCACCAGCACTTACAGGAAACCGAAGGATCGATAACTAAGGCCAGCGACAGTTAAGGTATTATACCACACTTTCTTCGCCCGTGGCTCCGCTGTATTGATCATGTACAGCTCCTTATTGAACCCTTACACACGATTTCTCGAGCATTCGGCTGAGTAGACCGGGGGGCTGCATAGGTTTATCGGAACCCTTAGCAGAACGGCAACGCCGCTCACCCCATGTGGCTAGTGGCACAGGTGAGGATCGAACCCGCAACCTCGTGATTGAGCAGCATATCACGACTTCACGAGTAAGGCAGGTCGACTAACGAACTGCGCCACTAAGCCTTTAGTGAAATTTATTTATATATCCGTATTCCGTGGGGGGGGGGGGGGGTACCAATGGCATAGAATGGAGACAAATGGCATAAAATTCATCAAATGGCATAGAAATTTCATGGCATAAATGGAAATTTTGTTTGGCCAATTCTCCATTTATGCCAATTTATGCCATGAATTTAGGTCTTCATATTTGACCTTTAGGATGACTTTAAATTCACAAATATTATTAGTACTTGAATAATAGACATGTTTCATGCTTTATAAGGCTTGGAATAGAATGATCGTTAAAGATTCATATGACAAATAAATAAAATAGAAATGTATTATATTAAACATATACCAAACATTTTCAAGACTATTCAAGAAAAGCAAATTGTGAGATGTTCAAAATGTACACAATACAAATATTGACAACACAACAATTTTGAATGTCATCAAGGAACAATGCATGTGATGTATTTGTCTTAGACGAGTAGCCAAACATTAGAAGATCCGTTGATTAGGCTATACTCCTGGCAGTAGTACTTCATCGGGCATGAATAATAAGAAATAAATCTAACCACTCCTGTTGCAAAGTCCTGCTGAGATTTGAAGACTTCAAGAGTTTCTGTACTGCCAGCTTTCAAAACTGTTGAACATCCGCATTCAGGTTGATTGTATATGCGAACATCAGAAGACACTCCAAACGCGTTCCCCTTGAATCTTGAAAGACGAGATTTTGTTGATAAAGTGCTTCTTCCTCCATTGAGCGTGAGTGTCTCAATAGACCGGAAGGAAACTGTTCCATATTTATCTGTTGATATCGTTTCTCCAACATCACAATCATCAACTTCAGGTTCTACCTCATAAGCTAAGTCGTCCTCATCCTCGAGGCATCCAGCTTCATCATCTACAGCTTCCCAAGAAAGTACTTGGCCATGGACGATTGGCTTCCCACTCTGTTCTTCTGGATCTGCGACTGCGGCGAACACAGGGAAATTGTTTCTTTTCCCTTCTCGAATGCAGTCCCTCGATGCCCTGTCCAGCGTTTTTGCCAACTTGCCTAGGCTTATTATATCACCAGTCCATTTCACTCGTTCTGCTTTCTGGCCTGTAGATTTAACCTTTTTGAGGTGAACTGCAGGATGCAAAACTGTACTTCCACGTGCATGTGCAATTGCAGATGTGTCTTCATGTAATGATAATGCACTGTACACATTCTTTCTCTCCATTCAATGGGCCATAGTTAATAGTTATCGCATCCATATTTCTTGAGCGACCAGATGAAAAAAAAACCCGAATAAATGCTAGATTATACTAGATTAACGTTATTATAGAAAACTAATAAAGGAGTGCTATGTTGCTATGCAGCAGTGAATATGGAGATATTTAAGCATATATTATGTCATCATCATTTTGTATTTAATAGGAAGCAAGTATTTCAGGTCATTTGGTGAACTGTTATGTAATACTAATATACAGGTTCCTCGAGATATCAATGAATATTATTTTTAAGAGGCTACCCATTCGAAACATGTTTACAGATCATTATCAATCTTATGAAAATGATTAAATTTAAAAACCTTTAACATGAACACAGTCCCGACACGAAACATCTGTACACATCATTAACAAATAATATTTTAATCGAGTTGGTAATGTTACAGTTTTCCACTGTTAATTTGGATATCCGATTGACTGGGATCGGAGCATTCAGTCGACCATTGGGAGACTTAGGGTCAGAAAACTGATCCGGCCCCCAAGAGGGGTCAAGACCACTCTTGAATTCGTTCTTCCTCCCAGCTGCACATCTACGAGAAGAGACGAACAATGTATCCTCTTTGATATGTTCCTCCCACATATCCCCTAGAGTTCTGGAATCATTTCGCCAGTATTCTTCAGGATCCGGAGTCCATATGAACTCTACCCCAGATCTAGCCATTTATAGGTCAATTATATTCAATCCATGGATCACATCACTAATTATACGCCACAAGCTTCAAGCTTGCATGTTAATTACTTGATGACGTATATGGTGGTCATATCACTTCTGACCCAAGGTCTGGCAGCCCAGTCGACTGTCCTCTCTGTTATATGGTGTGTAGCGTGTACTATCAACTATGCCATACTGCCCGGTCACTTGTCCACTATCAAACAAATTCTTATATCATATTGATATACATTGAACGTCATTATAATCAATAATGCCCAATGCTAGGGATATTTTGAGGAATTTAATGGGTGAAAATAGATGTTGTACTAGTACAATAAATAGAGATAAAGGTGGACAGTACTAGTGGGGTGCAGACAATTCGTTATTAAATTCTCAGTTCAAAGTTTTAAAATTTCATATTTCGAATGGCATAGAATGGAGACAAATGGCATAAAATTCATCAAATGGCATAGAAATTTCATGGCATAAATGGAATTTTTGTTTGGCCAATTCTCCATTATGCCATTTATGCCATTGGTACCCCCCCATTCCGTGCCATTTTACTGACAGCACGGCATCAACTTTAAAACGACTTTCCGCAAAAACCGTAAAAGATAAACAACCTAAACTTTTTTGACTGATTCAAATGCTTAAATGGCCTTCAAATCAGCATGAAAAGATAAAAATAGGCTAAGGAATAAGAATTTTAGTGCCCAAAATTTGGACCCCAAGTGATGTTAAAAAACGCGAATATAATGTTTAAAAACTCAATCACACATTCGCGTCGTTTTCTTAAAGAGTGGGCAGTCTTTGTGTAATGAATTTATCATTTCTCTTTTAAAGTTGCCGTCTAATTTTATGCTTTACTATACTATACCACGTACTGTATTTTACACGTACGCGATAAAAAACATGTGCTGCAGCTGTCTTCTGAGCTAATTGTTCATGAAGATTTGTTTTAATGAATATCCCTGAATTATCTACCACATGCATGTCCTGCTCCACATTTATTCAAATGTTTACTGTTCAGTTTTGCCATTTAGAAATTCTTCATAGCAAGTACAGTGTTCCACTTCCTTTTATTTTTGATCTGTCTGCACTTTATAAATGCTATATTATCATTGTGCTTTTCGTTTTGGACGAGGCTGTCTCTGTTATTGCCATTGGTGGATTCGAATTTTCCCAACAGACCCTTCCTCACTGGAAACATGTTAATACCCTTAATAGTAGTGTTGTCAAAGTGAAACTTTCATATTATCCGTGGTGTACTGTTACACACTATCGGCCATGGATAATGCAGATTGCAGATGGTGTTGACATTATATTACGTAGCTATATTTCTCATCTGAACTTAATATCTGCCCTTACCAGGTCACTTCAGCAAGAATGGCAGTTTGTGTAGAAGAGAGCTCTACTGACGGTACGACAGTTATATCGAACAAAATAGCGGTAACCAATAAAGAGTCCTCACAATGTGACGATGCCTCCAAGGTTCAAGAGATTGAGACAATAGAGCGTGAAAATTCACAGGGTCAGGGTGATGGAGCAAAGTGTTCTGGTCTGGCATTTAAAACTATGTACAGACAGATGGAGGGAAAGATTCTTTTATTCTTGTCAGGCTTGATCGGCGCGGTTGTCTTTTCTTTTGCTAAAATAATACCGAATATGCCAATCGGGCAACTGTCCTTTATAAACTTCACATTCGTCATTTTGTTTTTGGTACCAACCTTGTTCTTCAAAGAAAGCGGCATTCATTTTTACGGAAAGGCTGAATATTTCATACCTAGAGCATTCTTGGGTGGGTTTTATGGAATACTTACTTATTGGTCAGCTCGGGTAATGGATTATGGAGACAGCAAGGCTCTGGCCTCACTTATTCCAATCTTTGCAGCCCTTTTCTCAAGAGTGCTCTGGAAAGAAAAGTTGAGCATATTTACACTTGTTGCCCTGGTGGTTGGCTTGGCAGGAATTTCTCTGATAGCAAAACCAACGTTCTTGTTTGGGGTCCCCGATGAAACTGAAAAGAAAGAGTACAGCTCATTTTTTCCTCTCGTGCCCATTACTGCAAGTATTTTGGTTGGGCTAGCTTACAGTCTGATGAGAAAAGTTGGAACTGAAGTTAGCCCCTTTTTGGTTAGCATTTTTGTATCGTTGTTCTCTTCAGTGAATGGTCTCGCATTTCAGGCTATAGCTGGAGATGCATTTGTTCTTCCTGGATGCTACGGAGATAGAGCTCTTCTCTTTGGTGGCGGACTCCTTCTTTTCGCTGCACTGTTTTTTATTAATCGAGGAGTTACCATAGAGAAATCAGGTCCTGGATTATTGATGAAGAATAGCGACATTGTTTTTGCTTACATTATTCAGATTGTTTTCTTTAAAAGCGTTCCTGATGCCTTTAGTACTGTTGGAGCTGTTTTGGTAATTGTAAGTATTGTCTTGGTAACGGTGGATAAGATTTTGTTCAAAAATTGTAGGTTTGAAATTTAAATATTTTTTATTCTTACAGTCAGACATGAAACGTGATGATGCAGATGGCCCGACGTTCATAATATAATCAACTTAATTTATTTATCATCTAGTATGTTTTTTATTGATCTTGACAATAGCAATTGTGAGATTCCTATACAGATTTGACAGTATTTCTTTGATATAACGATTTTTTATGACTGAAAATATCACAATTAAACATACATTTTCTGATATGTCAGAAAAGGAGTGTTGAAATTTAACCAACAAAAGGAACTCTAACTCGTATAAAAGCTTAGTCCTTGGTGTGAAAAAGTACATCCGAGCAATCAAAGTTGCGGAATAAACTAATAATTCCGACCGTAACTCGAATTGTTGATTTTTTGTGCGAAACTCCTTTAAAGTTATAATAAACGTCTTTAAACACACTAAGTATTTAACATAATACACTTTGTAGTTCAGCAGTTGCTAACCTGTAAGATTGAGACCAAGACCCCCCACAGAAGTGGTGAGCAGTAGCAGATCGTAGGAAGGGTCCGAATTGAACTTGTTGACCAGAGGTACCCTCTCCGCTGCTGGGGTCGATCCTGATAAAGGTGCGTTGGAGGTATAATTCTGCAAATTAGTGAAGTCAAATATATAATGATAATCTTTTTCATGGTCAACTTGCTTTAAGAAGTTACTATAATGGTTACTGTAATACTGCACTGGTTACTATAATGGTAACTGTAATACTGGTTACTATAATGGTATTGGCATCTATAATACTGGCTATTAAACAGTATACAAAAATTAGGCCAGACAATTATTGATTACAAACTGGCTGGTTCCTAAATCCTGTTGTCAAATGCGTGGAATGTAAATTATGACCACATCTCAATGCTGAAGCTGTGAATACAGCTTTCAACCACAGTTATACTGGCACCGAGGTGTCTGGTTACCCGATTGTCTGGAGGACACTGGCAGACTGTCCGTCTCGCTGATTCATATATCGGGAAAATTAAATTTGCACCGCAGAGTAACTCAACTACAAAGCAGACGGAAGTGCTCGACCCACGATCTTCAAATCTTCAATCTCCCAGTTAATGAATTTAACGAACATTTGATTAAAGCCAAATTGAATCAAACTCCATTCTATAATTCCTTAAACTAATCAAACTCCCACGAAATTGAGTTAAAATTGGATCTTGACAATCTGCTTCAAAACAGCACAACAGTTAAAGCGCACGACCAGCATTAGTATTACTGGGACTAATTCTTACAAAGATTACAAAGACGCCTTAACAGTGTTTTCAACCGAGAGGATATTCTTGGGTGATAATATTATGTTTGAAGACACTTTGTAGAGGAAAATGAGGGAAACTCGCCTTATCTAATTATCGACAGAGTGGTAAAAACGAGGCTATTATAAATCTTCGAATTCTGTCAGTATGGGATGCAAGGGTTATAAGTTATTTTCGAATTTCCACTAATATATATAAAGGGAACTTACTCGGGTTCTAGACTACCCGAGTAAGTTCCCTTTATAACAAATTAGCATTTCCCGATTTCTGAGAAATTAGCATTTCTCAGAAATCGGGAAAAATTGTTGACATCTGAGGCTGGGAAATCTGTAGTTAGGTAGTTGTAAAGCTTCTTTCGGGGGGATCAAGTATTAATTTCTGTACGTGAAGTCGACTAAGTGTAATTTTGGAATTTTTCATAAGACCCACCAGCCCCGGCCCTTCACGGTTCTAACTGTTTTTTCGGATAATAATTAAGACACCCACCTCCTTCCTTCTAAGTGCGAATTCAACGTCTACAACAAAAACCACAATTAATTTGTGATCTAACAACTCAGCCCTATAACCAAGTGATATATTTAGATCTCCCAGGTGCAGTCCGGAAGATTCAACAATGGCAAACTCATTGTGTTTCACAGCCCTTACTTCTAGCTACATTGTCTCACAGCCCCTCCCCTCTGAGGTGATACATTTAGCACTCTTCCCAGGTGCAGATCCGCCGAACCTTTCACGCAGACCAGAACTTGATGTTCCACTTCCACTGCATAGTTATAACTCACCTATTGTCTACCTGTGCTCGCCCCTCTAGATCCTTAGAAGAATTATTCTACCAGTACCAATTGTTGATATTATAAATCTATAATCTATAACTTAACTTACTAATACTACAAAATATTCACCGCGTACAAAAAGAAACTCTAAGACGAATGAATTATAATATCTTTGATAACACTGATTCAACTTACCATCCACTCTAAGATAGGATACATTAGGCATCTGCGCTTTAAGGAGGAACCTCTCTACCACATCCAGCATGCTCTTCAGTTGACAGAACACCAGCGCTCTGTGGGGCGACACCACTTGGGAACCTGGGGTTAATTAGGTATTAATTATGTGTTAATTAGGCTATTTCTTTAGGTTATTTACCAAGTGCTAACTATAAACCAAGTACAAGTGTTAACCAAATGTTAACCAAGTGGTAACAAAGTTACTAAACTCTTATCTATAATTCAAACTTGAATCATCGAAGTTAAAAGAATGCTCTTAGTTACCGATGCCACAGTCGAGAAGGAGCTGATGGAGAGCCATGAGTTTACCACTGTAAGTATAACTGTCAGCACCTTCCAACTTGGGGTATTTCTCGTGCGTTTTGGGCAGTATCAAGATGGGGTGGTTACATATCTGGGGGAGGATTATTTATTATAAATAATATGTAAATATTCCTGCTGCGCATCTTTTGGTTCCGAAAGTTCAAGTGTGATTTCTGCTAGAAAAACTGTAACTAAGGACGTACAATTTAATTATTTCAAAATTACGCTAATTAAACTAAAACCTGATGAAATACTTAGACAAACCTTTCTGAGGAATTGCAAAGACTGGAAGACGTGAACCTCAGACTCTGACTTGAGATCGGCGGACTCAACAGACTCTGAATACTGTTCGTATAGTTCTTTCTGTGGAAATAGCACGAGTCAGCACACAGGGGAATTATAAACAGCCATGCCAAAATATCTCTGCCATAACCGCTCCATGTAACATTAAAACGAATAAATTAAAAAATATATAACTTAACCGACTACAGCCGAACTACAATCCCATATCAACGTCTTCTTCACTCCAACGACAGTGTAAAGCTGCCCTGGTCTCAGTAACTAACTCAGTATAACACTCGCTCCAGCTCAAAGTTAACAACAACGCTCATTCTAGCCAGACAGCACTTTGTTTATAAAGAGTTCAGTTCGTAATTTCTTCTCTAAGCTCCACGAGCAATTAAGCTAGCCCCTCTCTCTATAATCTAATTCGCACAATGTGCGTCATCCCATTTCCCGACTTTAGCCAGCTGTTGGATAAATCTCCCATATGCACGTTCAAGTAACAAAACTATCCATCTTAAGTATTGATAAACAGCAACATTTGCTGACTCATACCATCTGACCTCCCTCTCTATTATAGACTGGTATTATAGTAGTTAGTATACCACACGTGGTCTGCTCTCCGTTCAAGTGTGGCGTGGGCTCACTAGCTGCATCATAGAACCTGGTTCAGGGCATTGAACCGTGCTCTGACGTCTTATGATAACAATATTATGAGATTAAAACTTATAATTATATTAATCTAATAACTAAATATTTAAATGGGATTAAATTAACCGTTTACTTTCAAAGCTACCGCGTTTGCGTTTAATTTTAACCATCTGGCGTTCAGTTTGATAAATTACCGTTTGGGAGCCTTTACAGTTAAACTGAGTTCAAACAATGAACAGAACATTGTTGAAAGTGTAGTAGAAATATCCAGCAAATCGAAGCGTTGACAGTTTAAAAAAATAGTGAGCTGTTGATAGCAGTGAGTTATCTACCGTCTACATTGATGGCCTAGAATTTTACTCGGCGGCGAATTAAGGGCCTAATTCGGCAGCTGTTAACTGTGAGCGAGACTGATGAATATAACAAAATGCAAGGGAAAATAGTAAGAATCAATGATAACACTTGGTACTCAAACTGCACTGATTCACTGCCATTTCAAATTTTGTAACCGGCGGATTAAATACCTCCGCGGGGATTTGCAGAGAACAGTCACATGGGACCGTCGATCACGTGACACCCTTTTTGAACAGGGCAAAGTGTGCTAGATATCATAGCTGAGATATACATTACTTTAGAAGTACAACGAAAACAGGCACACTCGCAAGGTGAGGCAGAGGGCTATCTCTCCAGCAGTGTAATTGTGCAACGCAGCACCTGAGCACAATAAAAGTATACGCCTGGAAAATTGCCAAAACAAGTTGCCAGTGCCGCAGTCCTTAACAATAAACTCGGAACGAAATGGTGGCAAATTGCTACTAATTAGGGTACACCTTTGAGAAACTAGAACACTTAGTACAATCCGAGCGGGGCCGCGGACCGTTTATGTTTTGAGTTATGCGTGATTATAAATACAATGGTTCTCTCACTGCGCTCAACTATGTATCTCAGTCCAATGCCTCATTGCAATATTTTCAATAACTTTTCTTCGTAATTACAAATACAAAATTTTCACTGGAAACGTTATGATTAGTGTGGCGATTATTAGTGTGGCGATTATCCCGGCAATATAAATACATTTATAATATTTTCCCGCTTTTAACACACGCGATAATCAAGTTTGCTTCCTAAACAAAACACTCGAAAATCATGGCACCGCAAACTCAGCTATTTAAAATCAAAGTATTGGCTCTATGAGGTCGTTATACCACCCACAGTTATAGGCGACATGAATAATGCAGCTAATTAATAGTTAGATTAAGATAATACGCCTGACGCCCGATCCCAGCTAAATCACTCGCCCAAATTTTTTAAAATTCTTGTGAATAGGCCCTGAGGGCATGAAAGTTTAGTCGGATCACGACCGTTCTAAAAGGCCATTTCGTTAGCTTTTCGTGTTAAAGGATGAGGGGACATTAAAAAAAGTTTTTTTCTCGTGCAAATCCTTCTATTACATTAATCGTATAAACCACTTTATATTAGTGAAATCCGCAAAGTTGTATTCCATTCGTGCGCCGAGATATCCAGCCAAAACAATTTGAACCTGTGACGTCAATTATGGGACCTGCTAGGCTCTGATCCGCGCATATAGTAATACAGGTAAAATGAGCGTGCGAGCCGACTAAATTACTAATTAAGAATACATTAACAATTTACGATACTAACGAGCGTATAACCAATGGAGAGGAGTCTTTTTATGACCGGGTGAAAAAAGAATTATCACCCTACCATAACCATGAGCCGAGATACACCTGAAATAGATGGAACATTGAAGTCACAGAAAGGCATGTAAATTATGTATATTTATAGCTCCCAACGTAACACCTAGCAACTCCATGTATTGTACCACAGTTGATATATCAACATGTCATATCAACACAACACGGTTCTAATAAAAATGGATCGGGTAGGTATGAAATGCATGTCTTCATTCCAGTTGGACAAGCACCTAGCAGCAAGCTTTTAAGTTCTAACTCGCAATGAGACACTACTTATAACGTAAGCCAGATTTTCAACTATTACAGCACAAAATATTATACCAAGCATAGCAGACGAACACATCCACATTTGTTGCGCTTTACACTCAAGTCACAGCAAACTCAAAACGGTAAATTATAAATGAGTGAAAAACTAAAGGAACACGAGCAATGTCAAACCGCACGTGCGCACTCAGATAGGACTAGAGGCGCCAAGGGCCAGCTAGTAAAATGTCTTTTACTACATCAATCGATTTTTAGATCTGCTCTGGCGCCTTGCCGTCTTATACATTCTTTATTCTGTATAAAGAAATATTGGCGAGGTTAAATGGTGGCCAGTTCGGGTTCAAACAGTCAAAAACAAAAGTAAAGTGGGTTGTTGTTAGCGGAGCATACTTAGTATAGGAACACTACATAATCCCCCGGCATGCGCAGGGTTATTATGTCTATTGTTCCGCGACGCGCGGGAAAAATTTAGAATAATTGCGAGTGCGATGCACGAGGGATTATGGATGGAAAAGATCACCCGACGTGCTTGAGCACGAGGGTTAGTTTAATATTACTCTTATGCGTGCCGGTGTTATGTGGTTATTATACACCGCCGGGTTATGTGCTTGGACCATCAAATTTTGACATTTTACTCTTATTTCTAGCTATATGTGATCTGTATGGAAAATATGAAAGGGAATTGGGACTAGACCAAATAATACAAATAAGGTACTATGACAGTTTGGAAATTGGCGGTTAGCCTATCTTGGAACATTAGTCCTTCAGTCAGAACGTCATCAAAGTAGACGACTATAATACATGGCTTATATCAAACACGACAAAATTAACCGCACAAATGTAACCGTCGAGACAAGTTCTGGAAACTGGTCCAAATAATGTAAGAGTTTAGGTAATGTAAGCAGTGTGCTGAGTTTTGCCAGCGCCTGCAATTAGACCGATACGTAGATCATGTGTATTTATAGTTCTTACGTTAAGCCATAGGTCACGTGACATTTTTTTTACCAATGCGCGTCGTAGTAGTTAGTCACGTGATACACGTCATCAAAACACGTGACAGTGCGCATTTGAAATTCTCATGGAATATCAAAACAAAACAAATCTTGTTGAGCCATAATTAGCGGGGCGGGATTATAGAAGCTGTGCCGGGGTTATTTATTCAGCGGGAAAAAACTAACAGCGGGAGCCGGGATTATTAGAATCTATTTAGCGGGAGCCGGGATTATCAGAATCTTATTCTAACCCGGAGGGGTTTATAAGTAGCATATCTTGGCTTAAATAGAAATATCTTCTACAACTACAAGAAAGCCTTTCTAAGTTACATTTAACTATTAAAGAGAGTTAATTAATCGTTACTTAAACTAATTCAACGCAACCAAAGGTACCGCTCTCGCTAAGGTAACACGACGTAATTAAAACAGAACAGAACAAAATGCTGACACGAGGTTGCGCGACGCGCGTGCAGATAGGTCTTAACACTTAAGTGACGTCACAGCCCAAAATTGCTATCAGCCAATAGGAGCGCGGCGTGGTATTGCGCGAATTATCGATTACACAGTCCGGTGTATTTTTGATCCTACACACTTTCGCAGGAATAAAACGCGAATATTTGGAAGTAAATTCTAAGGTACCCTCATCAGCGATTTCTCGACGGTTATCACCTCTCTAGATTATGCTTAAAACATTTGGCCACTATTGCATTTTAATAACAAACTGTGAAAGAGTGGTCAACGTAAATAAAGCGTGGTCAACGTAAATAAAACAACGTAAATAAAACGACGTAAATAAAAAAACATAAATAAAACAACGTAAATAAAACAATGTAAATATAGGAGGCCAGGTTGCAGAAAATCCTGTCTACGTCGCGTAAGATTATAAATTTGGCGGAAATGATCTATAAGGTGGAATTTGCGAAGACGATTCTATGCTTAATGTCAGTCTGCGACCCAAGACTTTGACTGGACCTCCAGTGATCATTATTTCAATAAAGCACCGCTATCATCTAATTCGATTGGAGAAGTATTACTTCAAGTAAGAAATAGACAGACAAACTCGGTCTTATCCTCAATGATTAGTTTGTGCAAGGGTTAAAATAATAATAATAATTAACTTGCAATAGAGTGGAAAATGAGCATATATAATGCAGCATTAAAGATGCAAATTCAATAAACGAATTATTCATTATATAATTGTTAGGCTGCAGGCTTGGCTACTCCGTACTCATAGAATAATCCATATTTGGATAAATTTCTTTCGTCTTCTGAACTTGAGATCTTTCCTTCATAAGCCCGATTATTAGCTGAAAACTAGTGGCGTCGTTGTTTACAATTACTGAGATTCGGCAGAGACTGGTGCCACCCGATAAGCCGCTCAGGCGCTTAGCTTATAATAACATCTATGACATTCAGGTGCATTTTAAAGCAATTTGCCCTCGAGTATGATAATTATAACCAGTTTCATCGTGTTCGGCGTCCTCAAAAACATAGGGTTACATGATTTTCGCTTCAATATTCATTAACAAAAAATCCTTCTATTTTCAAATCTCTGGCCCAGCTGCCTGCTGGGTTTCAGAATGTGATACCTGATCAATATGCAGCAATAATTGCGCAGCTCCTATAGTTGGATCCAATTACACGCGATTATACACTATATTATTCCATATAAAGCCTGATCGAGTAGCTCGAGTTCGGAGAGCAAGCCACGTGACCTCAGCTCAGGTTCATAATCTCGTGACCTTACACCCAATCAATTGGGTTCTGGCCTGGTCAGCCCCCTGTCACCCGATCTTGAGGTGACGTACGACACCTCGTTGACCCAAGCAATATCTGGAAGGCTGCAAATTTTCACATGCCAAATTCACAAGATTCTTAAAGAATTGTGCGAGATGACGATACATAGAGGCCGCAGAATTATGAGGACTACCAGATCCTGGTGGAACCTAAGCGATCCATTATATCACGACAGGCCCTAAATTTTCGGTCCGAGTCATTCTCGATACGTACCTCTGAAAGCAGAGCTCCCACTTTCGAGCTCGTATTGCGAAGGGGAGTCCTGCCTTCCGAGATCGCATTACAAAGGGGAACCCTCGAGTCCAAAATCGTATATCGAACTTCGAAAACCGAAAAAAATATTTCGGCTCATAATGATCAGGATAGCATGAAACATGAAGAAAAGTAGTTTTCCCAACAATTTTTAGAAACCTAAATTAAAAAGTTGGCCCTTTTTGGCCCCTTGCCCAGATTTCATGGGGGCCGATGGCCCCCCCCTGCCCCCTCCCGCTTCCTACACCCCTGTTTGGTTCCCACTTCAGGATGACCCCATGTTCTGTTTTGCAGTCGAATAGATTTTCCCATCGCATGATAATGCGTGTCATTCCCTCGTTTTTTCATCAAGTGATTACTGCACTGGCTAGCTCTTTTGTTATTACAGCTGCCTCGAGATCTTATCTGGGGCACTAATACTACAACATTAGAACTGTAATTCTAGAACCTCAGATTAAGATTACTTGGCAGAAGACTTTGGCTGTCAGACAGTTGCGCCCAATCTAGATCTAGCTACCATGGGAAGATGACGAATCAAAACCAATTAAAAAACTGCTTGATCAGATACGAAAGTTCCGCCCAATCGATATTGAAATCCCCCAATTATAATAAAAATAATCTTTATTCAATCAAAAATCGTACGATCATAACGATAGACGCAAAGCTACGAAGAATGGTACAGATAGGACAGGATCGTTAACATTATTATCTTTACCCTAGCACAAATTGCGTTATCGGGGATAATATGCGATGAAATAGTGAATATATGCATTCTTCAGGGCGGACTGTATTAATATAGTATTCGTCTGAACTTTATTTTTAGATTTTGCACAGTTATTTTATTTGTAATTAACCTAATGTTAATTCTACGAGATGCAGGAGGGTCCGTGGCTTTATGTAAAATTACTTGGATTTCTACCGCTTTGATGAATGACTACAAGAAGATGGGGAGTTAATATTGTTGATTTATATAATATAGATTATTTATTCTTTAGTGTAGATTAACTTTATTTTTATATATTTTACCAAGTGTGAAGGATCAACCATACGTTATTGATATTTTTGAAATATTTAACGATAAATTGATATAATAATAAATGATTGTAATATTTTTATTGAGGCACATGCCACCCCATCGCGGGTTTACTACTACTACTACTACTACTCAGAGCTTGGACGTAGCATCTTGGGTAGTGGGTGTAGTGGGCATCTTGGGTACTGTTCCACGAACAGTTTGGTGTATTAAAAATAACTTAAGCACAAATTTGTACCTAAGTTGCATGATTTAAGTTCACACTTAGATATGAAGTGCGACTTTGGGAGTCGAACTTAACGTGCACTTGGGCGCAACTGTCAGATCACGTCACTGATTGGGAACCTGCTAATGGCCTATTAAGGTGTGGAAAGGGCAAAACTGTCGGTAGACCATTTTTTAGGTGTTTCTGGATACAAAGTGAGTCATCTTGTATCTTGTGACAAATGCTATGTTGCTCATGAGTCTTTAGGACCTTTCTAGTTAACAAGTCCGAAAGTTGCTTGCCCATAACTCCCTGGAGAGTTATGGGCAAGCAACTATTTTGGTCACGTGACAGGCTAGTAAAACACGAATCCGACTGTTTAGGGCTAGGGCTAGGGTTGTGATTAGGGTAACGGATAGCTTCGGGTTTATGGTTAAGGTTAGGGTTGGGATTAGGACTTATTATATGTAAAACCGTTTTGTTCGGCTGCAAAACCGTAAAAACCCAAGAATAAGATAAGTGATAATTTTTGGGCGAGCGAATTAGTAACTAGTAAGAGCCTCTGACGCCACCATCAGAAATTAAGATTATAATATCTTAATTAGTACGTTTAAAAAAAAACCCCTTGTGACTGTGATCACAGCTACTAACCTGTAGGGGAGTGAGGGTACAGTAGTGGTCCTGTATTATCTTGGGAGGGAGATCGTGCAACACGTCCTCTTTCATCCGTCTCAGTAAGAACGGCAACACCTACCAGGGAGACATTTGTTGAGCTGGTTTTAAGAGTTTGGTGATTTATATTTGAGAAAAAGAACAAACAAAATTGTAGTTCAAATATAGCGTTAATTGTTGAAGTTCGTCTCAAAGTTTGAAGTTTGAGTAAACCCCTTTAGTTCCATGGGCAAATAATACAGAGAAAAAATGTGTCCTAATTTTATTTGCGAAATAAAATTATACAGGTGAACTGTTCAAGGACAAAAGAAAATCGCGATTATGGCGGCGAAAATCGAGAAAATCGCGGCGAAAGATAATGTATTTGCAGAGCAAACTTAGATTTCATATATTCGTTAACTAGCTCGTTAGTCTAGTTAGATTAGCTATAAATACTGAGCAGAGCTTGCTTTTAGATCAGCCCTTCCAGACGATCTCGAAGGTTCCTCTCAGCTCGCCAGACCTCGCCAGAACGGAACTCGATGTTTCACTTCGAATCTGTACTCATATACATAATATTATTAGTTAATTTGTGTTTATACTTTACCATACTACACGTAAACAAACAAAGAAACCCTGTTTACAATGAGATAACATTACGTGATCGAATCACGTGTTTTGATAACAAAGCTAGAGACTAAGCACACTACTTTTCATGTGTTTTATAGACTGACCATGAGTTCCCTTACATATTGAGGCACTTTCCTTGTCCATTAACAATGGATGGACAGTCAAAATGTACACACGTATCCCCTCGATTAACGATTTTGGACTCGATGCTTCCCCTTGTAATGAGATCTCAGAAGGCAGACCTCTCCTTTGCAATACGAGCTCGGAAGCGGGAGCTTTGCCATCGAAGTACCTCTCGAGAATGACTCGGAAAGTCGAAATTGTTATCAAAGTTTTTCTGGAAACTAATTTTTCTGGAAACTACTTTTTTCATGCTACCCTGATCATTATGAGCCGAAAATATCTGTTCGGTCTTCTCAAGTCCGTGCCTACATTCGGCTGTGGATGTGATAGTGATTGGTTCCATATAATTATAAAGAGCGTGATATTTAGCCCTCGGATTGAAAGGAGAATACGCAAATTTGGTCCTCAGATTTAAAGAAAAATGCGCAATTTGTCGCGGAGAAATGAAAAAATAGCGATTTGTCGCGGAGAATGGGAAAAATCGCGATTCCGCACGTGCCGCGATTTCCTTTTGACCTTGGACCTGTTTCATGGGCAAATGATTTGCACACAGTAATCGATACGCGTATTGGTGGTGTCGGGTAGGATCAGAACTGCAGCCACTCGAATTTTAATTAGGATACACAAACAGAAACAGAAACTTCGGTGCGGGACAACAAAGTGCAATTATAATATCGATTACTACCGCAGCGACTAAATTATTTGAATGAGAAAAATTTAAAACGTGAGCACGTTCACAAATTTGTTTAGAGTGAAAAATTTCAATGAAAATTTTCCCATGGAACTAGAGGGTTGCCCTATATAATAGTTCCATGGGCAAATTTTGAATTTTCAGCATGTAAAAATTGTAAATTCGTTTTTTAAATAGGTCACAAGCAGAAGATTCACAAAGTGTATCAAGTTGGGGGGGATGCAACGTCAATTAATGTCAATTAATGTCAATTAATGTCAATTAATGTCAATTAATGTCAATATTATGTCAATTAATGTCAATGTCAGTTTTGCAAAACTTTGGAATACTGACATTAATTGACACGATATTTTTCGACCAGAGATTATGTAGTTCTACCATATTTTTTAGCACTGAGACGTTTATATCATCAATTTAATCAATACTATCACATATGGAAATGTGAAATGTGAAAAAATTCAGATCATTAAACAATAAAAACTAAAATAATACGGTTTTCCGAAATTCAATTTTCTAAATGGGCGTGGCCATCCAAAGGCGTGGTTCTCAACATCATCAGAACTTAAAACCCACATTAAACGAAATGCCTTCATGACATTAATATTTGAATAACGAATCTTAAACAGCTAACATTACTCCTACATACTAAAAAAGCCGATTCTAGATATTTTACCTGTATAAGAAACCAATAAAATATGGGCGTGGCCGGTGGGGACCGAAGATGGAAAGAGTTGGAAGAGTTGGAAGCTGAAATTTTTTTTGGTGGTCTTTGAACCTAAGGATCAACAGATAAGAACATACTCATAATTATTCAAGGACATTTTGTTTTTTTTTTGAACCGGTCTAACTTACATAGACGTGAATATCTTGAATATTTATCGAATAATGATAATCTCAAATTTTCAAGGACAACTTAATGTCAATTAATGTCAATTAATGTCAATTAATGTCAATTAATGTCAATTAATGTCATTAATGTCCAATGTCAGTTTGGGGTTTTTATGGAATACTGACATTAATTGACGTTGCATCCCCCCCCATCAAGTTCCATATAACTGTGAGATAACCTGTCTGTGTAAGGATTCCATAGCGAGGGCTCCAGCCTCCTGATCCTTGGTGGAGGACTTTGCATCACGTGACAGGTTTATAGGTTTACTGTACGTCTCATTAAACTGCCTCTCACTGCCCAGGAAACCTAGAGAATAGTGTCAGCACTTAATATCATTTACAAAGAATATGAGGGCACCCTTTTATAAGCAATAATATGTCGTCTTGTCATAGTCTTATTCAAATGGGTCGAGCTAAAACATATTCAATATGGCGGGCAGGAGATCGTCCGAATTTAGTTGAACTCTAACCAAGTCACCAAAGTCCACTTATTCAATGAAAAGTACTCACCAGGCATAAGCCAGTCGAATAGTCCCCAGAGCTCTAAAACATTGTTCTGTATCGGTGTACCAGATAGTATCAGCCTGTGTAATGCCTGCATTCCTGGCATTATGTTCTACTCTTCAGGGGGACTTTTTAAAATAATGTTGATGTTAATAACTGAGTTTGAGATTTGTTATTCAATCTGTGAACAATATGTGATCAATCTGTGAACAGACGTAGATACAGTTTAGCATAAACAACACTGTTTCCTCAGATGAGTTGGAAATCCATGATACTTAACTCCTTGTCAAACCCCGGTAGCTTCATGCAATGAGATAACGCAATTGCCCAGTTCCATTATATTACCAATTGGATGTGGAACTGCAACTACCAAATTGATTGTACAACACACAGAGGTGCAGTTTTATCTAGACAAATTCGTTCATTCACCATACCGGAACTTTAAGTTTACAATGTTTCCACTTCAAATCTCTAACATTAACGATATATTAACTGGAATCATTATTTCAAAAAAGCGTTGGATTGATCGAATTAGAATAATCCCCGTTACATAACTGTAACGAAATACTACCTCTCAACTTTTTATTCCTACCTCTGATAGCTTGAGAAACTTTCGTCTTACTGTTCTTTATGACATGACCCTCGTCAAGAACACAGTAATTCCACTTGAGGGTTGAGAAGAACTCGAAATCATTGCGGAGCACGTCGTACGAGCAGATGACTAGGTCGTGTTTTCGAGAACGGACTACAGCCTGTGAACAGACAAGAGATGAATAATTACGTAGAATTAATTTTTACAGAAGTTGTAATCAACAAGGGCGGATGGCCTCAACGACGTACAAATAAAACCAATCGCAAATTTAATGTAACAAGTCAACGAATAAGTGTTCCTCTAGTCTAACCCACAAGTGGTCCGGAGGGCTGTTAGACCCCGCTTTACATAGAAGTAGGCAGAATACGCCTCACTATTCCTTTCGTATCAAGTAGGTATATAAATGCAAATGAATCAAAGTCTTGAACTTTGACTCTTGTGCATCTGTTAACTTGTTAACAACAACACCTCATGAAATAGTGATTTTTGGCTGCAAATTACCGTTGTATTGTAATGTAAACGTGTCTCTTTGAATTTAAGCTTGACATGATACAGTGGTACTTTCTAGGTGTATAAAGTTTTTGTAAATTGAGGAGATAAATTCGGGTCCAATTGATGAAGGGGTTGACTATAAAAGAGCTCACTTGTAGTAGTATCCGTTCTGCAGCAGTCCCGTGGTACATTATAGGGGACAGGTCAGTGGAGGAGACAAACTTCTGGGTCTCATAGTACCAGTGCCCTATCAGGGTCGGGGGACATACCACTAGAGAAGGTAGTGCTTTCTCCTCCTGAAAACAACAAAGGTCAATCAAAATTTATTAGCTCTGGTAAAATTTACTTCCACTTGAGAAATCTACCAGGAGTGTGTGATTATTGTCCTCAAACTATGCGTCAAAATCAGATCTAAGTCTCTACAATATATTGAGATGCGATAAAACATCGGCGTCATGATAAATTCTACACTCATATCCAGATTTTAGCAGTTAAGTGCAAAATGTAAACAAAATGCGCTAACTGCTGAGCACTTTTGATGGCCTATTAATGCTTATTGCTTTTCATACAAAGTTACTACAAAGTCTTAATGTTATGTATCCTGATTCCTGGGTTTGGACAGGATATTACCCGCTTAAAATATTTCCATCGCGTTACATAATACTGAAATATAATATTATATTTACAATAAATTATACAATCACAACATTATAATCAACAAAATTAATTAAATCACAGAATCTCAGATACAAGTAATCATAAATTAAGCACAAAACAAATTAAACAAGCAATAAATTAATATACAAATTAGCATCAACTGAAAACTTACTCCTTCATAAATTTATAAAATATGCAATGCACTTCGCGTCCCTATTAGTCGGTAACTCTTAACAGCCTCTCATAAATAGAGATAAGGAATTTTGCGTCATACCACAATACGTGACTGACTTTTAACCAGGTTAAAAATCGCGAGGTTTATAACCTTGAACCTCATGTTATCAGTAAAATCGCGATAAAGAATATTTAAGGCCACAGGGGACCTTAAAAGCGTGTACGATGGAGATAATATTATGGAATTTAGGTAACCGTATATTACAGACATAGTTTGCACACTGTTTCTCGAAAAACACTGTACATATCGTCAGTCGTCACGCATATTATATCGCCATGTAGTAGAATGCCTTACGCCTACGGGAATTTTCTGCTCGATACGCTTGGACCCCAGATACTCCCTATTTTTGACCGTAGATTCATTAAAAGTGGTTCTGCGATGATTAGACTGAGTTTACCCGGTTAGAACCCAATTTTCGGTCCAATAGCCATGTTTTTTAAATTCTTGAGAAAGTTAATTTCGTTGGCAAAATTTGCATAAAAGTATACTAGAACTAGCTGCACAAAATTGTATCAATATTGTGATATTATTTCAGGATTTCCCCGGTAAAAAATCCAATCGAATGGAGATATAGGGTTGTCGAGATACAGTGTGATTACCCAGACATAGCTAGTACCTTCTTATCTTTGGACATTTTCCTTGATAGAGTTCCAACTTATTCAAAAGGGTTTCAAAGAACTAGCCATAACAAGTCGACTTAAAAAATCCCAGATAAGCTACTAACCGGATGAGAGTTGAGTCGGTTGTGATGAGCAGTTCCAATAATACACAACGTCTGAAGCGTCTTCCCCAGCCCCATATCATCACAAAGGATACCGTGAAGTCCGAACTGACACAGGAACCACAACCAGTTAACTCCGTCCTGGAGAGATTCAATGGCGTAAAGACAATGAATTATTAATACATGAATTATTAACATAATTAATCACCCACTCCAGTGTTTAGTATAATGAATGACAATGAACCAGCAGATTCCAGACTCGAGAAGACAAGCTTATAGAATCTAGTCGTGAGCCGTAAGAGGACTTGCCGCATAATGTGACGAGATTTGGCATTGTATGGCAAAGAAATTATGGTAGGTCATGAGGATGCTATTAATTATTATTAATGCTACCCTTGTATGCCTTCAGCCCGTTCCTTTTCCTTGATACGAGAACCACCCTTTCCCGTCTCTTATGCTAGTGTAGGGACTCGGAAGTCTGAGTGTTAGGACCCACAGCAGATGTGAGTGGCTCAGTGGGGTAGTTACCATAGTAACACCATGGTAACACCTCAGTGTGAGCAATGAGGTTGTGAAAGCTTAGAGAATGAAAGTAAAACTAGACGATAGGAGAAGTATAAGTTCTAGATCGTATGACCGTGGACAATGGATTAACACCTGACGACTTGGTTTGCAGAGGAAACTTGCTATACAAGTAGTGACTTCAAATTGAAGTCACTACTTTTATAGCAAGTTTCCTTGAAGTCTTCAATACATTGAGAGCGATTCAGCTGCTTAAGGTTTCTGTTTGGTCCCGAACAGCCTCGGATCTGCCTTGGTAGCATAACTCAGATAGGAGCACAAATATTTCATGTAATACAATAATAGAGGGAAACGTTTTGTCGTTAAGAAGCCTGGAGTTAGGGCAGGAGTAGGATAAGATGTGGATGCATTCGTAACAAAGGTTTTTCTTCAAGAATGTGTTCATAGTCCTGACAACGTTTTGATGTGTTTCCTGGGACTATGGACAACAAATTTATGAAGAGAAACCTTTGTTACAAACTTATTCACATATATAGATGGTGAATGGTCCCATAAATTGCAAATCTTGCCCTAACAAATCACTATGTAACGACCTTACAACTTGGCTGAATAACCTATTCCGTCTATCAATAATCATAAAAAATAGCAACAAATATGATTATTCAAATTAAAAATTATATCGATAAGAACCTGTTGATATTTACGAAGTTTGGCATCTATCTTTATCGGAACTTCACAATCCTTGATCAGACTTGGATTCATAAGTTGCTCTAAGAAATGCTGAAATTTTGATAATTGAAAGATCTACCTAACAAATAAGAGATCACTCAAAGAAAAGCACGTCTCGCTCGATTTTAAACCAATACCGATACAATAAAACCCCGATTTTACCGCGGGGTTTGGGTAAAGGAAACAGCCGCAGTGAATCGGGGTTTGCGATTAATCGAGGTTTTGGTTGTTCTAATTATGTATGCTAAACCTAATTTGGGGGAAGGAAATGGACGAGATAAATGGGGGTTTGCACTTTGCAGTAAATCTGGATTTTACTGAGCCACGCCCTTACCTTCTGTTTGACCTTCTCCACTGCCAGTTCCTCCAACAAGCCCTTCACCTCTCCCTTTGCTGCGTCCAGTGGCATGAGTTTAACAAGTTGAGCGAAGGTGAGGGTAGCAAGAGACCTGATGTCAGGAGCAGAGTCCCCCATTCTCCGTAACATGGGCACTACCAGCAGCACGACATAGGGGACAACTTTCAGGTCTAATTTCTGGAGAATTGGTGGGTTTTATTCGTTAAGGTACTGTGTAGTAACACTATGTGAACTATCACGAATGATCCATCGACCATCAATGATGCCATTCATTAAGGTCACGGCTTTACGACTGACGAAATGATATAGATTGCATTTGAATTTATACCTTGACGATGGAATGAATACACTCTGTGACGCCTTGACGCTTGTGACTATCAGAACTGTCCAGTTCTCTGATAGTATCACTTAGTAAATGGTTCATTACATCCACCTGAAAACATTAACAATATGATAAGACGACCAGTGTTTGGTTTACAAATTTTGCACCGATGAGGGGGAAAAAGGCGGAAAGGATAGCCGTTCAGACATGAGCACCATATTGTGTAAATTATTTAGTTATATATCTTATACAATATATTTTGGATATTTTGCTGCATAAATACTGTGTTATCATCAATTTTGCAGGATAATTTATAATAACATAAACCCGCCACGCAAAGGGTTTATATAACAGATCATCCCGCGCTAGCGGGAAACACATACGAGTGCGCGCAGCGCACGAGTTTTGTGTTAATATGTAATCCCGAAGCGCCAGCTGAGGTATTACATTTATTTAGCCCTGAGCGTGAAGTGTTTATGGATTATAATTATCTCCGGCGATTTCGACAAGGGATTTATACTTTAGAATGTCAAACCGATCTGTCATAGTGGAGCAATAGCTTGAACGTTGTTTCATATCACGTGGTGCGCTTTCGTGTCACGTGGTATAGACTCGGCGTATGCTATTGGTGGCACGTGGTACGCACGTGACGCGCCCACGTGATCGCGCGTCTAACTGTTCTACTATTATCGAGTTCTAATCAGCAGTATCATTGATTATTGTAAGTCGGAGAATTGAGGGATAAACATCAGTTACGACTAAAAAGCGGGCGGGTTTATACAAATTTCCGGGGCGGGATGATATCACCTTGAAATGTTTATCTAACAGCGGGCCGGGCTGAGTGATAATATGATCCCGCGTCGAAATCCCGGAGATATTTATAGTAAAAACGGTTTGTAGCCTAGCCTACGTTGAATGAGATTGTGTACTCCCCAAAACTCACAGTATTGTGTTTGGCGAGGGTTGTAAGGACTCTAGCAGCAGCATGTCTCACTGCAGTGTATCTGTCAACCAGGAGAGAAGATAAAGTGCCGAGTCTCTTTAGCAGTCTCTGCTGTAGAGTCACGTGCAGGGAGGAGTAGAGTCGTTCCAAGACAAATAATCCTGTTATCACCTGTAAACGTTAGAAGGTTAGAACACGTTTCTATTTCAAGAATAAAGGACTTTTCTAAATTTGTAACTTTCGCAACAACAACAACAACAACAACAACAACAAAAAATTTACTCCCCTCCCTTGAGCCAAAAAGAAATTGACTCATTAACCGCACAGTCATAGCTATTATGACATCTGTGCACAATAATGTTTATGATCCTAGTTCTTCATTGCCCTCATTTTCAGCGCGCAGTGCAATTGTAAAATTTCCATAAATCATAATGTGTGAAGTCAATGTAGCTTACGTTGCAATTATCGAGCTCTCTTATCTTTTGTAACTAAGCGATAAGTTCAGTTTGCTGCTACCGCGTAGTTAGCCTTTGTGTGTGTACTTGTATTCTATTTCAAGAATAAAGGACGTTCCTAAATTTGTAACTTTCGCAACAACAACAGCAGCAATGACTCATTAACCGCACAGTCATAGCTATTATGACATCTTTCCCCAAAATTTGTATGATCCTAGTTCTTCATTTCCCTAACTTTCAGTGTGCAGTGCAATTGTAAAATTTCCATAAATCATGTAAATTTTCTCTGATGGGGATAAAGAGGATAGAGGAATACAAAGAGAATACACAGAGGATCAGAGGAATACAAAGAGATTTCTCATTTGGTTTTTAACGAGCAAAGATTTGTGGCGCCTCACAATCTTATCTACTCCGACAAGCTGAACCTAGTTACTCAGTTGTCCAGTGGTTGCCCTAACTCAAGCATCTGTTAAAACCCTAGTCCTTAACGAGATATTAGAGGTCTACAGTTTCCTTTTATGGCCAGGTCACGTGATCCAACGGTTTTTCGCAATAATTGTTGTATATACGTCGTATAATTTAATTAAATGTGGTCGCTTATTCAATATCCCATGATGCTGCAAACCAGCAAGCTGCTTGACAATTACTTTTCAATGTGAATTCTATTTGTTAATATTTGTTTGTCGACCGTCCTTTGACCGTTCATTCCAAAAGAAAACCAGAATGTCAATTCTTCCGTTGGCAGTCTTTTTCATAATCTTCTACTTTCTAGCTCTCTGTGGTAAGTTTTCATTGAACTGATTAAGTTAAGTCACCGTCCCATGACGTTAATCCTTAAGCCACATATAATTAGTAAACTATATTTTTTCAGTATTTATTGAATCTATGAAAAGTAGCGATTCACTGCTTATTAAAATCAGTTTTAATTTACTACACCCCAAACCGTCTTCTTTAATCATCACTGCAACATTTCAGCAGAACGAAAAGAAGACTGGGTATGCCACCGCTGGACTACTGAGGACCGGGAATGGGTAGCAGCTAACGACGGACTGACCGCGTGCAACAGGTCAGATATTCCCTCTTATATCTAAACCTTACGTAAATGATTCATTTGTAACGATCAAGGATACAAAATTAAGGAAGTAATTGATATAGTGCATATTGTTTAGGCTTGTTGGTGGTCGCTATACGAAAGGAGAGAATGAGAACACACCCGGCTGTGGTACATGTTGGTGCTGTAAAGATCTTGCAGCAGGTTTCCTTACTTACTGAGTCAAAAGTATTGTCTTTCGATACAAACTAGATAAATTTAAAATGTATTTTAGTAATTACTTCTCTGGTAAGCAATTATTAGACTGATTAGTTTAATTAACCATCTGCATCCCATGTCCTCTACCTTTTGTCGCGAAGCTCAATTTAATTCGTCGAAGCACGCATGAATACACCGTTTATTTGATCGAAGCAAAACTGCACCATAGAGAATTCCACAGAAAAGACTAGATTAAGTTCACTTTTACGCCATTTGAATTGGAAAAGTAATCCTCCCAATGTTTCAGTAACACTGTATTGCAGATATTGGATGTTGGAGCAAAGACAACAGAGACGCTAAGGGAGCAGGGTACAATGGAAATCGGTCTGTGACTAAGAGTGGATTAACTTGTCATAAATGGACTGAACAATCACCTACACCACATGGATACACTGTGGCCAAATATGGTGACAAAGGAATAGGTGATCACAACTACTGCAGAAACCCAGGAGAGAGGTACAATGAAACATGGTGTTACACAACCTCACCCGACATACGGTGGGAATTCTGCGAGGTCCCTACATGCGAAAAATCAGGTTAGGATCGTGAGATAAGTAGTACTTCAAAAAGGGGAGAAATAAGTTAAAATACTTTTGAGTTTTGAACAATACACATTGAATTCCAAGTAGAGTGTCACTGCTCATTTCAGTTGAACCAGCTCAATGCAACACAGTGGACCCAACATGGAAGAAGGTGCTGACAGAACCGGAGCTACCAGTTCAACACGAGATTGAGGTTACACTCAGCTGTCCTGAAGACTACACTTACATTGGAGATGAAAAAGCGACTTGTAACGATGGGAATCTTCAACATGCTGGTGATCCTCCAAGTTGCTATGGTAAAAATAATTTGTGATTAATTTCATTGTATGCGTCAGAATACATCATAAATTGCGATGACCGTGTTCAAGAAATCTATCATACGATCATTTGGTCCCAATTTTTCTCAGGCGAGCATTTCCATGATTTCAAGTCAATTTATCACAATATCTAAAACGTGTTATTCACCGAGTCTAGTAATTGTTTAAGAGAGTTCTCTGGCAGTTACGAAACTCGAGAGACTGTGGGATACTGAAGGGAAAGGAAGCAGTTCTAACGAGCTCTTCTCAAACACAAGGATATATCTTGTGAACTCGGCTAGTATATATGAAACATTTGTCATGGAGTTGTGGAGGGAGTTATGTGCCTCGCCGGGCTAAAGTAGTGGATGACCTTGCTGTACGGCAAGTTAAACAAGGATCTGAAACTACTAGGTTCCGTACAGACTCAACTCTGCACCCGTGTCAATATGTTCATTATATAATGCAAGCCTCTTGATTTATAATTAAGACCTTATCTAATAAATTTCAGCTAATTGTAAGACTTTCAAATCTGAGCTGAACATTGAAGTGGCAGACTCGCAGTTTCCGGCAGAAAATGGAGCGGAAGTAGCTTATAGGTGTCCTCGGAAACATGCCAAAAAAGGTGGCGAAGTCACAGCAGTCTGTGAAAATGGGCAGATAACCTTTCCAGACGGATCTCCAGATTGCTCCAAGTTAGGTATTGAATTAAATAGTTTAATTGAACTTTATATTCTACCTGTAAATAGAGCATATTCTACCGAACCTATTAAGGGATAGGTTCTGGTAGAAACAGCTCTTTAAGAAAAGTACTCTTTTAGTATTCTGGAGTATTCTCCGTCTTGGAATTATTTATTTTAAACCCTGGTAGCAAGATGGAATTGTAAGTAAATGAAGAACTCAAGGACAAAGGACTGAACTAAAATCTCAAGGAGAAGTTCGAAGAGCTGTTGACAGTGGGTGTGCTTTACTTTTATATCTATAATATTTAAATTCGGGGATGTGGAACTGAACGACAGTTAAACTGGGTGATATAAAATATCACTAGGTGTATTATGTAGTTTAAAATGATGAGGATAATAAGCTAAAATAGAAAAAATAAAACAACTAGAAATCAAAATGATTCGGAAGCGTTTCCAAACACAAATTAGAAAACAGTTCTACGATGTTTGTCAATTTACTGTTTACTCCCCTTTACAATTACACATTGCCTGTGCCCTCAGTCGCTCTTCTGTTGCAATTCCCAATACCGGCACTGATTCTCATGACAATTCCCTGTAGTAAACGCCCTGTTCCTTCAAAGAACGACCACAGTTTAGCCCAAAGAGTCGCGCTGTAGAGGATAGGATTGATCACAGAGTTGATGGGTAGTACAACTATTGAGAATAAAGAGTACAGGGGGGCGGCGTCCATTACCTGCAAATAGTGGAGAGTGCAGATCACTATGAATGGAATCCAGCAGAGGAAATCTGTTGCTATAATGAATGCCACTTTCGTCGTCAGTTTTATTCCATTCTTACTCTGGACAACATTTCCAGCATCAGAAACGTTCTCTGAACATTTTCTTACCGTATATTCGATGAAGCAGTAACATGCAGTTATTATGACAAAACATGTGAAATTCAGATAGATAATTCCAACTGAATATCCGAACTGTGGATCTGACATAGTTACCAGATATTTGAAGCTGCAAACCGCATCATTCGAGTAGAATCCAACTTTGGCACCAACAACATTGCCATAATCATTGGAGAACATCTTTTTAACAACTGCCTGAATTTCTGACCAGCTCATCGATCGATATCTGTATCGTCCAAAGTAGTTTTTGAAAATTTTATAGTGAGTTTTTTTGTTAACAGTGGCTGAAAAAAGGTTTACTCCATCATAAAACAAACCGTTAACAAAGTAGTCCTCAAGAATTGGAACAAGGGGAATTACCGACACAAGCAGAGAAACTGATATCAAAAACACAATCATGGACACAAAGATGGTACGACATTTTCTTGAAGCAGTGCCTCCTCTGGTCAAATTGTCGAAATTCATTACTCTAGAAATGCTCAGACCCGTCATGGAAAGTAGGGATAGCTGGTTTCCAAATGTACTCAGGGCTCCAAGCGAATCACAGTATGAGCTAGTTAACCAGTTAAATCTATCCAAACAAAAACTATTTCCATACCATAGGTCGAACCCGGCGATACTGATCAAATAAATGCCGGTTGTAAAATCCCCCAACGATACTAACAAGATTAAAATCTTATCCTGCTTTTGCTTTAGAGACTTCGTCTTCTTAACGCTCAGCAATGTTGTTATCAATACAAATGCATTTAACATGAAAGCCAAGATCCCTGAAGTCCATGAGAAAGTCGCTAGAAAAGATCCAGGTATCAGTCTCTTCGATATAACATTACAAGCTTCTCCACACTCGTCAGAAAAGTCTCTGCAGTCGAATTTTGTATCGCAGACCGATGTCGTTGGGATAAATTCTCACAGAAGAAATGGTTGCTACAATTTGTTTCATCGCTGCTGTCACCACAGTCGTTTATCAAATCACAGACTTTGTCATAAGTCA